GTTAACACTGTGGAGAGTTATATAAAGTTTAATTAAAATTTATCCTAAATTGTCAATTTGTTTACCTCAGACCAGTTTGTTCTCGATGATTGCGGTTAATTCTCTTTCTACTCAGGCCTAGGGTAAGTAGACATGAGGTCATAAAGTGTGTGTTAGCAGTGTCTGACTCATTCCCAGGAGGCAAATCTTCCATTTTCATTCTGTGCAGGTAGCATTGTGTTCTAAGTGTTCAGGTAGAGTCTTGGCAATTGGACTGGTACTTGGAAGAAGGCAAGAACATAAATGATCAACATGGCAACTTTTAATTTTTTTTTAACAGATTTTTGATATTTCCTGGGATCCATATCAGCCAAACAGAGTGGTTAGCTGTGGAGTAAAACATATAAAGGTAAAGTAGTAACTTAAAAAAATTTTTTTTGGTACCATGTATAAAAAGAATTTTAGGTGTTCATGTAGATTTGTTGTTCACAGACTGCTTGACTTCGCCTTTTTCTTAAATGTAGAGCCCTCTTACCTGTTTCTCTAATCCTGAAGCAAGCTAACATCAGCTGGTGGGGCTCTTTTAGAGATGCAAAGAACAGTCAAATGAAGTGCTCAGCAGGCAGCTGAAAAGGAAACTTTATGTTAACTAAATACTAAAGTGAAGACTCCTACTTCATGACTTTGCATATTTTAAAACAGTTCTGATTTTAATGTTGTGAATTAAGTTTTTGCATTATAATGCATATCTGCATATATTGCATGTAAAAACTCTGACATGTTGATATGTTCCCTTAGAAGAAAGGTGCCTACATAGAAATAGGATGTGCTTTACATAGAAATAGGATGTGCTTTACATAGAAATAGAGGAATATACAGTACAAACCTATCTGGGCCTTTGGTTTTAAATGCCCATCTTCCTGTAGTCTTCATAGCCCAAACTTGCCCACATTTGCTGCTTCCTGTTTTGTTCATAAGAAGCAAAATTAACAGCATCAACAATATCCTTTGCTCTGACATAGCAAAAATTTTTCCTGAACTATGAAATATATGTCTTAGGATCTTCTGTCTATAGAATTGTAAATAATATAAGTTAAAGTCCACAAATAAGTGTGTAAGGATTACCTGCTTGCATAGCGCGTGCATTGATCTCTGCTAGTACAAAACTGGTACATTTCTATACAAGCAAGGTAGATATCTATGTAACTTCTCCAACTAGCCCCTCCTGTTTCCCAGTTCTTTTGTTCTTCTTTTGGTCTAGTTTTTCATGATTCTTATTATTCCTACTTGGTAGTTAAAAAGGGACAGATGATAAAATGCTCAGAAACAAATATAACAAGAAATATGCAAGACTTGTCTAAAGAATGTTACAAAACTTTACAGAGGAATATAAAAGAATACTTAAATAGAGTGACAATCTTGATTCTGTACATAATGTCTAAAATTTGCAAATGTATCATTTCTCTCCAAATTTATATTTGTTACAAATTCAATTAAAATCCCTATTACTTTTGTTGTTCCCTGACAGAATTTTCCTTTTAATTATTCTAAATTAATCTGGAAGCATGAAGAATGAGAATAACTAAGAACTTTGGGATAAAAAAAATAATGAAGGGGAATATGCACCACTATTCACTCAAGCATATTAGAAGTTAAAATAATTAAAATGGCATAAGACTGGAATAAGGAAGAAACAAATGAATTTTAAGAAGCTGATAAATAGACCTTAATATGTATGACAACTTAGAATATGATGGAATCTCTAACTAGCAAGCACTAGAACAATTGATTTGGGGGAAAAACTTATGTTATTACTTCATACTATGCACTAAAAGTCTCTGAATTAATCAGGTAAATGTTTTAAAAACTATAACTAGAGAAATATATAGGCAACTGTTTAACTGCTCAAGTTGGAGAAAGCCCTTTCTGAATGTAAAATCAAATGATAACGGAGAATACTGATTCAACTATATAAACATTAAAACATTCTATGTAATGCCTCCTCTCCCACAATAAGAGAACAACCGCAAACTAGCAAAAGTATAAGCAACAGACATAGTAGACACTGGGTGGTTGTTGAAATGTAAAGACCTTTAGCAAATTGGTAGAATAGACAAAGAACATAGATAGCTGACAAAAATAGAAACATGTTGGCCAAGAGACATGAAAATATTAAATCATTAGTAATTAACATAAATTTTAGAATAACATTTTTAATCTATTAAAATTATTAAAATGTATCCAGTGTTGGCAAGGATTTAGTGACTGAGTGCTCTCAAACCTTGTTGGTAGAGGCGGGTTAATGGATATGGTCTTCTAGTCCAGAAATCTGGCAATATCTATCCATCTTGGAATTTATCAAAGAGCTGATTCATCGAGTAACTTATCAATACCAAATGAAAACAAACAGAAGAAAACCTGAAACCACTTAACTATCCCTGGATATTTAAATAAAATATGGTATATTCATATGAAATACTATACAATCATAAGTTATGTTTTAGGTGGTTAATGATATTGGGACATATTCAAGATCTGTTTCAAGTGGGAAAGTTTACAATCTACTTTGGGGGCTGAAGGCAGATCTGTAGTGGGGGAACAAAGCCGTTGGCCCCCTAAAGGTTCACTGAAAAATCACTGACATGAGGCAGATCATTAATAGGAGAAAAGACATACACACTTACTTAATGTGTATACACAGGAGCATTCAGAATAAAGATACAGGGGAAATCGTTCATTTTTATGCATAGTTTCAATAAAGTGTGGACAGTTATATAGAAATGTGATTGGACAAAAAGGGTATGATCTAATGCTAACAGGCTAAGTGGGGGAACCCAGCAAGGCCTGTCTGTCTAGATTCTTCCTGGCCTCTCTGAGCATGTATTCCTTCCTTCTGGTGTGGGGCAGGACCCTTTCTGGAATTGGAGACCTTGCAGTCAAACAAGGTAGGTCAGATAATTTATTTATGGCCAGTTTTTACACAGAATAATTTTAGGTTTTATGGCTGGCTTTTGGAAAAGGAGTTCTGGTTTCTAGGACCTACCTTGGGCAAGAGGGATTCTAGTTTCTATGGCTAGCCATGGGGGGAGAGTGGGACTGGGAGGAGGACAGGAGATCAGAGGAAAACTTTTGCTTCTGAGGCCTTCACTTTGGGGTGCTGTTTTCTAAGCCCCATCGTTGGCTTTGGTTTTCTCTCTCTTTTTCCTTTAAAAGTACATTTTTATGTGGGAAATATATTGGAAATATATCCCCAAATGTTAAACAGTTATCTCTGGGTAGTGAGTTCGTGGACAACTTAAAATTTTTGCCTTTTATATTTTATTTAAAAATTATTTGATAACAATACTTCTAAAATAAAATAATGAAAAGACAAAAATAGGTCTAGAGGTTCTGCTACTGAAAGGTATAACATATCCTACCAGCACTTTAGGGCTTCATACGTGTTTTATAATCCTTGTACAAAGACCTGTTTTTGTTTCTTAACCTGAGGAAATGTCTGCTGAAATATAGGTACTTTTTGCTTTTAGCAGCAGTTGGAGGCTCCTCCTCCTATGCGTTATACCTGAAAGACAAATTCATTAAATTTAATATTTGAGTTTATGCTGTGTGAAGGAACAAAAAACGCTTTTTTCAATTTTCTTGAGGTTTAGTAATGAAAACAGAACATTCTGTAAGAAAGGCAAAAACCAAAAACCTGTATCGATAAAGGAGAGATGCCAGCTGGCATAGAGGCAGATTGTCTCAGGAAGGGCATGTTGTTTAAGCTGAGCCCGGGTGGGTGGGCGAGTGTGGTAGGAAGGGATTGGGAGGCAGCAGGGCCTAAGTGGAGGGGTTGCACTCCAGTGGAGAGTTAATAGGGAGGCAGTGGTCACCTTGGAATCATGGGACTGGGGAGGTGGAAAAGCCCATGGCTCGTGGTATGTTCCAGGATTGCCAATGTTTTCATCACCAAAGAACCTATTTCATAATCTTATTTTTAAAGGAACAAATACTTTGAAAGATTTTGGCCACAAAATAGCCATTAATTAATAGTCCCCTTAACACTCTTCTATTAATCAAAGATATATATCTGCCAACACGATCTTTCTGATCAGCCTAAAATATGCTGAAACACTGAGTAGTTCTTTCAGCTACAAGGGAAGAAACTCGTGAGCTCGTGAGCCTGGTTTCTATCAGGCTGTGGTGGCTTTCTAGAAGTCTGGGACCCTCACCTGGCACATTCCACAGTGAGGAAGCTGAGGCCAAACCCAAGGGGGTTATTTGACTTTGAATCCGAATTCTGCTTCCCTCTACTTGACTGTGGGCAAACTATTTATTCTCCCTGAGGCTGAATTACTTCTCCCTCGCCCCACAACAAAAAATACACACAGATCACTACCCTCCTGTATTCATTAAGACTGTTACGGTAAACAGTGTATGGAGCCAACAGGGACACAACATTATTAATTTCTTTCCCTATTTTCTAGGATCACAAAAAATGGTGGCACAGAGGTAAGATTTAAACTCAGCCTCTGGCTCCCTCTGTAGAGCTCTTTCCACTGAGAAATTATGTCTTTAATGATCTGTCTTGGCTTAACTTTTTTCCAAAAGAATAATACATTTATTGGGTTCTAACTAGATTAGCTGCTTAACTGGTAGAATTCTCCAAATTCTTCATTTCTTTCCATCCTTGGTTAACTCTAACTTTTAATTAGTTAATTCTAAAAGCAGAGATAGATAAAATTCTGGAACTTTAAAACACTAGAAGCTACTTATCCTGTTAAATTTAATTGTTTTAGCAGACTTGGGCATTTTTTTCCTAAGCAAATACAAACATTTTTACTTCAAATGGAAGAATCTGCAAATGTCCACCCAGCCATCCTTTATTAATTTTGTTTACAAATAAACCTGTAACAAATTTAAGTAGGCTTCA